TGGTATTTTTGGAATTTTTTGGGATTGGGTGGTATTTTTGGAATTTTTTTTTAAACTGTGGTACTTTTGGATTTTTTCCGAACTTTTCGATCTTCATGTTCACCGACGTCATTCTTCTGAATCGAAAACCCTAACCTGATTTCCAGCCGCGGCTCTGATACCACTTGTTATAAACGCGCTGCTACGGATCGGGAAATCGTCGGAATCGATAAAGCGAGAATACGATAGTGAGAATCGAAAAACACAGACACACGATTTACGTGGTTCACTAACACGATGTGTGTTAGGTACGTCCACGGGCGAGAGAGAGCCAGTTTCACTATATCGAGGAGATTACAGATTACAGAGGAGTATGAGAAGTATTTATAGTACTTCTCCATGTGGGTCTAAACCTAATCCAATCTGGCAAAGGAAACGACCAGGCCCAGCGAGACCCCCGATTACCAGTCGTAGCGGCTGATATTCCGATTCAAGTCACATCAACATCACTATAGATAAAGAAGAGTAGGATTTACTCGTATTTGGAGCTAGACATCTATCCGTAAGAAGTTTATAAAGTTTCTTCGTCTGAAATGGAAAAGATAAGAAAAACAGAAGAATGTAGCATTTGGTTCCATAAGTTTCGATGCCACTTTCATCCTCTTTGATGCGTAGTGAAAGATTTCTCTGTGGTCTTTCTATTTGTGCTCTGGTAAGAGAGATGAGTAAGGATGTAAAATTTTGGCGCCCCCTATTTCCATCGGGCCAATTAACAGGTTCTTGATTAATTGAGTTTACTGAATCTGTATGATGGTTGATGAGTAATTTGGACACATAATTGCTGGAAGATTACTATTCGAGTTTAATTCAAACCGTAGAATCAATCAACAATATATGCTCGAAGCAAAACAAGTTACAGAATTTATGATCCAGATTAACTCCTAATAGTAGTTTCTAAAGGCTAAACTACAACCATTACCACTGCCTGCGAACAAACAGCCGTATTTGCATGTTGGATTCCTGTGCAGGAAGGAGTAGACTGAAGATTTCAGTTTTCATCTCTCTCTCTCTCTCTCTCTCTCTCTAGAGTAGACTCGACTGTTTCCAATTTCCAACATATTCTGACCTTTGCCGTAAAGCCGAGCTCTGGGTGTCAAAATGGCGAACAGAACTAAATAAGGGAAAGTTTTAAACTTTCTCAATTGGCCTATCTGCTCTTGATTCGCGTCATCATTACTATTGTTCCCACACCAGCTTAACTCCACTCATTGTCTCTTCCTCCATTACCCATTCTACCACACCGTACCATCATCTCTATAAAAACCTTTCCTTTCTTCCTTCCTCCCACCAAAAAACCAGAGCCAAACAGGGTGAAAAGTTCACTTTCCCAGTTTTCTCCATAACCCATAAGGCAGAGAAGAGGAAGAAATGGAGCCTGCTTCCATCACCACCGCGCTACCCAGTATCCAGGCCACACCGGCGGCAGCCGCCGTGGGCGGGCTGGTTTTCTCCGTTTATTTCATGAAAAAGATGTTCGTCGATAAAAAGAAGGCTGGGAACCCCAATCTCCAGATGGTTCCGGGTAATTGATGAACCCCACTTTCCTTTCCTTTCTTTTTGATGGAGATTTTTTCTTAATTGGTCGGCCGGAATTTGCAGAGGTCCCGGGCTTGCCGGTGCTGGGGAACTTGCTGCAGCTGACGGAGAAAAAACCGCACAAAACGTTTTCAAATTGGGCTGAGACTTACGGTCCAATCTACTCCATCAAAACCGGTTCCTCCTCCGTCGTCGTTCTCAACACTACCGACGTTGCCAAAGAGGTCAGATTTTTTTGCCTGCTCTGTTCTTGATCTTGGCTAAAGCTAGCTGTGGCGTGCTGTCTCATTTATGGGTTGTTAAACAGAACTTGCAGCCTTTGATTGGAACGGTATTTATAGATGGTTGCCAAAAAATCAGATGAATTTTTCAAGTTATTGGCTAAAAAGCCTCAGTTTCGTGCTCCAAACTCTGTTTCAGGCAATGGTGACCAAATTCGCATCCATAAGCACAAGGAAGATGTCAAAGGCTTTGTCCGTGCTCACTCAGGACAAAACCATGGTTGCGGTAAGCGATTATGACGACTTCCACAAAATGGTGAAACGCCACGTCCTCACTAACCTGTTGAGCCCAAGCGCCCAGGTTCGTTGTTTTATGGACACTGCAGCATTACAATTCAGAGTACTCTGTTTTTCCCCCCTTCGTGGGCAGAAACAGAGTTCATATTGATTTACTGATTTTGGCTGCTGAATTTTGCAGAAGAGACTTCGATCTCAAAGAGACATGATGGTGGACAATATAGCAGCCCAATTGCTGGCTCATGCCAAGTCCCATCCTGGAAAGGCTTTGAATTTCAGGAAGGTCTTTGAGTCGGAACTCTTCGGTTTATCCATGAGGCAAGCAATTGGGAAAGATGTGCAGTCTATTTATGTTGAGGAATTGGGGACTAGCGTTTCAAGAAGAGGAATCTTCAAAGCTTTAGTGCTTGATCCAATGGATGGAGCTATAGAAGTTGACTGGAGAGATTTCTTCCCGTACCTGAGCTGGATTCCCAACCCGAGCTTTGAAGAGAAGATCGAGCAGATGCACTACCAAAGACAGGCTGTGATGAGTGCCCTGATCGCAGAACAGAAGCAGCGAATTGCGTCGGGAGAGGTAATGGAATTGTATTGACACGTTAAAACTTGTTGTTTCCTTATCATGGCTAGATACTAACGGTATGTTGGTGTTATGTTTAGGTGATCGATTGTTACATTGACTACTTGCTGGCTGAAGGCAAGAACCTGACAGATCTCCAGGTCTCGATGCTGATCTGGGAGACGATCATCGAGACATCGGATACTACGTTGGTGAGCACGGAGTGGGCGATGTTTGAGCTTGCGAAGAACCCTGACATTCAAGAAAGGCTCCTCTGCCAAATCCAGGCCGTCTGTGGGTCCGAGGAAGTCTCCGAGCAACACTTGTCGAAACTTCCTTACCTGAGCGCCATTTTCCACGAGACGCTCCGAAGGCATAGCCCTGTTCCTGTCATCCCCTTGCGCCACGTGGATGTTGACACGGAGTTAGGAGGGTACCATGTCCCTGCTGGAACCGAGGTAAAACGTTATACAAATATGACTCTCTATTGACAAATTATATCGTACTATTTATAATGTAATCAACACGCTAATTGTTATAACGGTGCTGCTACGGATCGGTTAATCGCCGGAATCGAGAAAGCAATAATATGAAAACGAGAATCGAAAACAGACACACGATTTACGGCAGGAGAGAACCAGTTTCACTATATTGAGAAGATTACATATTACAGAGGAAATGATAAGTATTTATACTTTTTCATATGAGTCTAAACCTAATCCAATATGGGGGTAAAAATATATCGGGTGCCACTTAAGTTTGAGAATTGGGGTAGACATACCACTTAACTTTCAATAGGTCGCCGGGTACCACTGAACTCTATTATATATGCACCAGGTACCACTTAAGTTTACTGTTAAGTGCATTCTATTAAAGTTGACGGAATATTCTTGGAATATTCTATTTTCTAAATTTCATAATTGGTCCTTCTACTTTTCTTATTGTAAAAAAATCATTTGGACTTATGAAAAATATTATTTTTATTGTTTCGTTAGAATCCTCTTTTTAATACTTGATAACAAACCAATTTTTAAATAGAAATTTTAGAATCAATTATCATTATAATTATTTTTAATTATCATTATGTGTTCTAATAATTGAATTATTCCATGAATGTTGTAACTAAACAATGTTGTAGCTTTTATAGTCATATTTTCTTTTTTATATTTTTTTATCGAATGTTGTAGCTTTTATATTTTGTTTATTACTTTGTTACTTTTCATCTCTTTTCGTTCTAAATTTTTTCAATTAGAAAAATAAGTTTAATTCTTTCTCATTGTGTTCCATTTATCCTTTTTTATTTTGATGTATTGATGATCGATTAGGTTCTATTTTAACTATTTTATTTTGGTGAAACTATTTTAATTATTTGTAATGGTATTTCTAACTGAATTAGGGGGTTTAAATAGATATTTTAATATTTATTATTATATTCTAGCATATTTATTATTCTTCTTGATATTCGTTTACTATTTTTACTAATTTATATTTTATTGAAATAGTTTACCCCCAATATGGCAAAGAAAACAGTTACAGACCAGGCTCAAAACTGACAACCCAAATGTGTATCGACCCATACACCGTGGATCAGGGGGCGTTGCTTCCAGTCGTAGCTTGCTGATAGTCCAATTCAAGTTACATCAACACTAATAGACAAGACCGCCTTTAACTTTTGTACGTGTTTTGGTTTTGTAGATAGCGATCAACCTATATGGATGCAACATGGACAGCAAGCAATGGGACAACCCTGACGAGTGGCTACCGGAGAGGTTCCTAGGTGGGGGATCGGATCCCATGGAGCTGCATAAGACGATGGCGTTTGGGAGCGGGAAGAGGGCTTGTGCAGGAGCCCTTCAGGCAATGCTGATAGCTTGCACATCGATCGGGAGGATGGTGCAACAATTCCAGTGGCGACTGAAGGAAGGAGAGGTAGATAATGTGGATACCGTTGCGCTCACTGCTCGTAAACTTGACCCCTTGCACGTTATTATCAAGTCAAGAAGCTAGAGAAAGAATGAGAGACAAATCAAAGTCACGTCGAGCCAGTTTATATAGTGTACTTATGGTATGTGTTTGTTTAGGGCAATGTTATGTTTGGGCTTGAAGGGTAATCGAATGGAATGTAGTTTGGATAATAAAGAATACAACGTTTTCTTTGTGAGATCTTTTTGATGAACTTGTGATTAGGTTATTTTATGGGCTCGTAGGTATTTTTGGTTTGGGCTAGGGTGTTTTTTTTTTCCTTTTGGGTCGAGTTTTCTTTTTGTGTTTGGGAAGGGGTAGGACTAGGTTACGTATTAGACTTTCGTGAGTCTATAAATATGTAACTTGGGCATTAGTTCCGTACCAATCAATCAATAAAGTTAAGGTTTATCGACACCAACGTCGTTCTCTCGCTCGTGAGTTTCGAGCAAAACCCTAGAACAGAGGGAATCTGTTCATCAATTGGTATCAGAGCCTGGTTCCGAATCCGTTCGGGATCTGATCGCAATGGGTACGGGCACGGTCACAGAACGATGCTCAGCGTTGGAAGCTGCGGTGGAGGATTTGCAAGTTTTGGTGCAGGCCGATTCGGCCGAGTTGGAGGTGGTAAGAGAACAGATGCGGGAGATTGCGGAGGTCTTGAAGACTCTGGTGGTCAAGGTCAACGCGTTGACACCGCAACGGGAAGGGAAGGAAACGGTGGCGGTCTCGTCGATCGGGAAGGAGAGCTCGGAGGAGAGGGAAGCGGAGAAAAGTACGATGGGGATGAAGACCGGCGAGAGCAGCTCGACGGAACCGAAGTTCGACGGCAGCGCGCGTCGTCTCGACTCAGCGGTCCGTGGGAGCTACGGTGAGAAAGCGTCCAGGGACGTCCGGCGATCAAAGCAGCAGCGGGAAGGAGGTCTTCGGTCCGGCGATAGGAGGTGGAGCGAATGTGGTCCATGTAAGCTTTCCGGATTTGTTTGAAAAGCAACCATTAATATGCAAGCCCCTGGTACAAAATTTTGTTTTGGAATTTCTTGAATGCACCAGTTTTTCAACTCCATTAAGTGGGTGGATGGTGCGCAAGAAATTAGAAGGGAGGCAATCCAAGTTTCCAGCCGGCGGTGGATGTGAGTCAAGGAGGCCAAGGGCGCACAAGAAGCAGCAGAGGGAAGCTTTCTTGTTTGGCGAATGGACAAGGGTGCTTGGGATTAGCTGTCGCTCGTGGAAATTCAGGAAGAGATCAAAGCCTTCACGTCGTCGCAAGAGTTGTTGTTGCTTTCATCATCGACCACGCGTCTCAGCATTGGAACGAACCTTGGGGACCAAGGTTCTTTGAGGGGATGGGTTGATGAGGTTATTTTATGGGCTCGTAGGTATTTTCGGTTTGGGCTAGGGTGTTTTTTTTCTTTTGGGTCGAGTTTTCCTTTTGTGTTTGGGAAGGGGTAGCCGAATAGGGGTAGGACTAGGTTACGTATTAGGCTTTCGTGAGTCTATAAATATGTAACTTGGGCATTAGTTCCGTACCAATCAATCAATAATGTTAAGGTTTATCGACACCAATGTCTTTCTCTCGCTCGTGAGTTTCGAGCAAATCCCTAGAACAGAGGGAATCTGTTCATCAACTTGGACATCGTTCTCATCTCTAGATGGATCATCAAATCTCTGATACAGCTAGACGAGCGAGCTTCGTTACATAATTCATCTGGAATCCCAAATTAGTCGTGGGGTGTGGTTTTGCGATAAACAGTTGTAAATAGAAGTTCGTTCTCAGATGGAATGATGGTTGGGCTGCCAGGTAAATACGAGTATTTGAGCTTGTTGATAACGAAATGGCTACATGGACTTGTAAGCACTACAAGAGTTGTTCTCTACAGAAGACCGAACCACTATCCTAAAGATCCCTAGGGTAAACTAGTGATGGCAATTAATGGGGCGGACTGGGTAACTCAATATCCATGTCTCTTGATATGATCCCAAATTGCCCACAATTCACGTCAGAATTACTTGACAAAGAAGCTACCAAAGTTGGGAAGAAGAAAGACAGAATTTGGCCAAGTCAAAATCCGTGTTCAGGGTACATACTTTGGAGGCATGGTTCTCTCAATTGGCCAGGTGGAAATTCAATGTTAAGGGTTTTTTTTGCAGATAAAGTTACCATCTTTCCAATGGTATGCTTTATGGATCCAGAAGATGTCATTAAGGTTGTTTTCCAAGTTCTCAAAGTTGCTACCTCAAAACTGGAAAACTGCCAGAAAATGGTTAAGTCTGGAAACTGTTTTGTGAAGGCTACTTTGGAGATCAATTTAAGGAGCATGGATCTGATTCGAGACCAAAGGCTTCTACAAAATGAAACTAGGAATGTTTATCTACCAAGGGAAGGAATCGGATGAAAGATCGGAGTTCTAGAAGGCCTTGTACGAAAGGTGTGAAGTTAGTACGAAAGCTGCTTTTGGACTGTTTGCTGGCAGCTTACTTGCACTTGAAGAAAGAGAGTTTAAACCCGAATTTTGTGTCCTTTTTAGTGTAGACTTTTACCTTAATTGTTTCCTAGTTCTATTAGGATTGTATTAGGTTTATTTGCCATTAAATACCCTCTAGTTTTCGTTGTAATAGTTGGAAGACTTTATTGAATAGAAAAGAAACCGTTTGGTTTGTGCAAGTTGCGACTTGCTTTGGGTTTGGTGGATTCCAAACTTGCTGAGCTTGTGTATCGATTGAATAGTCACTTCAATCGTGGTCGAGCAACTACCCTTTTATACCAATCGAGCTATCCCCAGGTGTGGATTTGTCCTTTTGGTTCCGTTTTATCCAAGTTCGTATTAAGAACGTTTCGTTCTTGATTCGAGCTCAATCGATTCTTCGATTGAGTCGTTAGCTGCGTGAATTTGATAACATACACCCCCAGGGGCGTATTAAGTGGTATCAGAGGAGAAGAAGCAAGTGACGATATCGGCACAAGCAGAATTCGTGTTTAAACAGGGCAGCCCCTGTTCGCGTGTTACAGCGGCTGTTTCGTGTGCAATCGCGATGGAAAACTCCCTTCGAGCAAAGGAGTTCGTAAAGGGCAGTAAGGAGGAGCAGCATGCTCGATTTTGTGACAAAGAGAAGTCCCCAACAGTCGTCATCAAGCATAGAGAGTCCGACGAACAGCGGGATAACTTATTTCACAGTAGATGCTTCATCGATGGAAAATTGGTGTCACTCGTGATTGATGGAGGGAGCTGTGCAAATATCATAAGCATGGACGCTGTCAACAAGCTTGGATTGAAAACGCAAAGGCATCCCCAACCTTACCAACTCAGTTGGATCAACGAACATGGAACGATCAATGTGACGAAACAAGTGTTAGTTCGCTTTAATCTCGGACAGTACGAGGACGAGGTTTTGTGTGACGTTGCACCGATGCAAACAGCTCACCTATTGCTTGGTAGACCGTGGCAATTCGATCGAAAGGTTACACACGAAGGTTGGACAAATTATTATAAGTTTCAGCACCAAGGTAAGAAGTTTGTGTTGAAACCTCTTTCTCCGGATGACGTTTACAACGATCAAAGGCAGATGGAGGAGAAGAGGAACACAGGCAAGGCGTCTCGAGCTCAGATGTGGGTACAGAGGCACATGGGATTCAATTTCATGAGCTTTCGGAAGCACCAGAAGGCAGTCCCAGAGCTTGAACCAGCAGCCTGCAATGAACTCTGTTTATCCCCTGAAAAACAGAGTTACGAGGCCAGCAGTCACGCCGACGACGAGGAGGCAAAGATGGAGCTCGACGCGGCCAACTATGCGTTGCTAGAGGTGGAAGAAAGGTCGAAGAAGAGAGGAGAGGGTCGGGGTCAGTCTGAGGATGGGCGAATCGTCTCGGTGACGAGAGCAGTTGAGCTTCCCGTCCTTGCCGCGAAACAGAGGAAGAGAGAGGGACAATTGGTCGGGTTGATTGGCGAAGTGGCGAGCCAATCCAACAACGCTGAAACGTTCTCAATGGCTTCGGGAAGCTCTCCCCTTGAGAAGAAGCAAACAAATTCTTCTGTTTTGCAGAATCAAAGTCGGGCTCAAACACCCCTGCAAACGCTCAAACACGAGCAAACTACGAGCGAATGGGTTGGAAAGATCGGGCCTGATTCGAGCAAACTTCTCGATACAGAATCGCTCCATAATGTCCATGGAACGTATATAAGTCTTCAATTTGATCCGAAATCATTCCAATCAACAACGCCCAATTCTGAAATTTTTACCCGAAAGTTTGGAGAAGCCAAGGAATAATCGATTGGAGAGATTGGAAGCGAATCGAACGAAAAAGAGACCATGGGGAACTTCGGTAAGGTTCAAGTAAGCTCTAGCATCGATCAATTGGAAGAGGGGAAGCCGAAATCACCAACGCATAATTTTTGTTTGGGCTCGCCGGATTCTGGGTTTTCTTCGCCGGAAACTGGGATTTTCAAATCGTCCGGCGGCGGGAAACTTTTGGATGACGATTGGCGACGATTCAGAGATTATCGATGCACTGGAGTAGCAGTAATCGATTGCTGGGATCGATACGAGTCGATCTTGTGCAACGAATTGGATCGTGGTGGTCTAGGAACGAAATCCCCAAATTTGGAGCTCTCGCCAGAGTTCTTGCCGGCGCCGGATTCTGCAAATTATTGGCCGGAAACTGGAAGTTTGGGAGGAGGAGTTCTGGGTTCGATTTTGAAAATTTTTTGCGTGGGGAAGGTCCATTGGAGCCCCACGAATGTGATGAGGCTCAAATCATGGCAAACATCAGGAAGATCGCGAGTTGACGAAGCTTTAATGTTTGACTTGCCGTGTTCAGAGTATCACTTTTGTGACCCGATTTGGGAGGCTTTCATTGACGATTTTTGTTTCAGGTCAAAACAAGCTTTGAGGGCAAAGCTTTTTGAAGAGGGAGAGCCTGATATGATCCCAAATTGCCCACAATTCACGTCGGAATTACTTGACAAAGAAGCTACCAAAGTTGGGAAGAAGAAAGGCAGAATTTGGCTAAGTCAAAATCCGTGTTCAGGGTACATACTTTGGAGGCATGGTTCTCTCAATTGGCTTGGTGGAAATTCAATGTTAAGGGTTTGTTTTGCAGATAAAGTTACCATCTTTCCAATGGTATGCTTTATGGATCCAGAAGATGTCATTAAGGTTGTTTTCCAAGTTCTCAAAGTTGCTACCTCAAAACTGGAAAACTGCCAGAAAATGGTTAAGTCTGGAAACTGTTTTGTGAAGGCTACTTTGGAGCTCAATTCAAGGAGCATGGATCTGATTCGAGACCAAAGGCTTCTACAAAATGAAACTAGGAATGTTTATCTACCAAGGGAAGGAATCGGATGAAAGATCGGAGTTCTAGAAGGCCTTGTACGAAAGGTGTGAAGTTAGTACGAAAGCTGCTTTTGGACTGTTTGCTGGCAGCTTACTTGCACTTGAAGAAAGAGAGTTTAAACCCGAATTTTGTGTCCTTTTTAGTGTAGACTTTTACCTTAATTGTTTCCTAGTTCTATTAGGATTGTATTAGGTTTATTTGCCATTAAATACCCTCTAGTTTTCGTTGTAATAGTTGGAAGACTTTATTGAATAGAAAAGAAACCGTTTGGTTTGTGCAAGTTGCGACTTGCTTTGGGTTTGGTGGATTCCAAACTTGCTGAGCTTGTGTATCAATTGAATAGTCACTTCAATCGTGGTCGAGCAACTACCCTTTTATACCAATCGAGCTATCCCCAGGTGTGGATTTGTCCTTTTGGTTCCGTTTTATCCAAGTTCGTATTAAGAACGTTTCCATTCGTGATTTGTCCTTTTGGTTCCGTTTTATCCAAGTCCTTTAGGGTAAATTGCAAGGTTGGTCACTGAGTTTACTAAAAAGGTTCATGTTTGGTCACTAAAAATATTTAATTCCATTCGTGATCACTAGAATTAGTTAATCATTTCAGATTTGGTGGCAGATTTGGTGGCAGAGTGAACATTCAACTTCAGAGCAGCATTGGATGCGAGGGACTGGGCAAGAAAGTGAGGCAGGCGTTGGGAGATGTCGGAAGGAATCAACCTCTGCCGCAGATCTTGGATCACACGGATGAGAGAAGCCGCCTTCCAATCCAATTCTCGAACATACTTCTACAACTCTTCCGTTAAGAGACTCGGGATGATGTCGACTTCGCCTCCGTGAACACTTCCTTGACCACCTACCACGTCTGCTGATTGCCGCCCATGCTAGTAGTCCCGACATGGCCTCTGCCTCTCGACGTCGACTCTAGTCTGCGTTGAACTCGCATCTGCCAAAAATGGCGCCCGAACCGGGTCGAGCTCGGGAGAAGAAGAAACCGGTTTGGGTTTTGGGAGTTTGTTTAACAAAGGAGAGAAGATCTCGTTCACGGGAAAGTGCGGTGATGAGAAGGCTACCTTCAATATCTTGTGGTGGGTGAGGAGTTTGTCGGAGCGGCGACGGAGAACCTAGGATCGGAATCGCCACGGAGGGGGTGGGAGGTGGAAGAGATTGGGGAGAATAGTTGAATCAGTTGGGCTTGGCCGCTTGGGCTTTACTTTGATTGCAGGTGGGATTAGAAAGAATTAAAATTTAATTATAATTCTTGATATGTTTTATTTATTTAAATGTTTTGTTTTAATGAGGTGTAAATTATAAAACCATTAAAAATTTATTGTTTTTATAATTTTTTAATTGCCAGATCACACATTTAATGGTCAACTTTAAAAGTTGACTGCCACATCAGTCAAAGTTAACGAAATTGAACGGAGAGTGACCAAACTTGAAATCTTTAACTAATTCTCGTGACCAAGAATGAAATTAAATGTTTTTAGTGACCATATGTGAACTTTTTTAGTAAACTCAGTGACCAACCTTGCAATTTACCCTTTTATTTTATAATAAAATTGTAAATAGGTGAGAAACTCAATTTCATGAATAAATTAACTATATTTATCCAATTATTATTTTTAAAGTTTTATTTTTATTATATCATCATATCATATTTTAATTTATAATGAAATTGTAAATAGGTGACCTCAATTTATTGAATAAATTAATTACTTTTATCATATTATATTTTTTTCTTGATATTTTATAATTAAAAATGAATATATCCAATATTTTCTTTTTAAATTATTTACCAATTAAATCTACCGATCCCGAACCGTACCCTTGAAAAATTAACCAATCTAGACCTAACCTATCACAAAGGAAAATAGATATTGAGATACTCGCTCTAGACCTGCGACACGGTCCTTCCTACAAAGCATACTAGAATTAGGGTTAGGGTCTGGTGTGGGAGTTGGGCTTAGGCCTACGAGGGTGGGTAGATTATGATTTGCTTTATTTTTTATTTTTCAATTAAAATAGGATCAAATAGCAAAGTTTTTATGTCCTCTCCTCATAATGAAGCGAGATAGGTACCTCAATATTCACACTCCCCCATATTAAGATTGAGTCAGCTTGTGTAATACTCATGCATGTACGGGTCTAGCAGCTCGTTAGTACTTAATAGTACAAAAATAAAATAGTTCATAAATGAAATTATAGATAATTAATAGAATAATTGAGTCCAATTAGTTGAAATTCTAAAGTATCATTGGGTGAAATATGAGTTAAGTCAAAATAGAAAAAATAAAAACATATAGTGAGACAAAATGAGGTATAACGGGTTAAGAATGAGGCAGGATGGGGCGAGACAGGCCGTTGGTACTTAGTAGAACCAGTGGCGGATCCATGGAGCTTTAGGGGTATCCCAAAACACCCCTAAATTTTGGAAAAAATGAGTCTCCAACCTTCGATAGGAATTTGTGTGTATGTAAAAACTATTCAAGTGGTAGCGGGACACCCCTGAATTTTGCAAAATCGATTATCCAACCCCGGTTACTAGTTTGTATATGGGTAAAAAAAAGTAGTAGTTTGTGTGATTTGAACTTGAGACACTACTACTATTAGTATGCATGTTTTTCATTACACTACGGTTCATATGCTTTTTTATTTTAGATAATATAATAATAAAGAATTATATCTCCAATTTTTTCCAGAACCTAACTATTAAACCCAATTACGGCATAATCTTGTCTAGGAGGATATATATCGAGAGAGATTTGTTGAGAATTGTAGACACTGAATGTATTTTATAATTATTTTAGAAAATGAGACAGGTCGTGGATTTTGGCTGTAAATTTCACTAGTCGGATATTTTTATATTTAATAATTATTTAATTTAATTTTTTGAAGAAGATACCCCTATGTAAAAAATTTGTGTCCACCACTGAGTACTACCCATGTCATGTCCGACACTACTACGAGGTATTACCTATCCTAGCACGAATCAAATCGGATAATTGCCATAACTACTACAAGTGAGGATCAACACAGACGGTGATAGAAAAAAAAGCCTATGGGAGGAGCTCTCCCTTCTCTCCTCTGCTTCTGGCGGCAGATCGGAGAACTATTGTGATCCCTGGTTGTTGCGATTCTGGCAGCGTGCTTGAAGAATCAAAGCCGAGATGCAGATAGCCCTCAGATGCCTTCGTCTAGCCCGCTCTTCCCCTCTCGTCAGGAGCGGATCCGCGGGAGGGTTGGCTTCTTCATGCTGCCCCCGACCAGATGCTTGAGGAACCCTAGGGTTCGATCCAGTGGTACCCAGGTCACACCCACATGCCACTCCAAAATAAGGAGCGGTAAACGCTCTCTGGAAACCTACCTGGTAAATGAGATGATTACCAGGGGAACCAACAAACGAATCCGGTTGCATAAAGCTTCAGAATGGCAGTTCAAACTTCCCTCCTCATCGGAGATGGAAGAAGACGAGGAACCCACCTCGCAGTGGCCCCTTGAGGGCGGCAGTAGTAGCCCTCTTATGCCTTTCCCCTCGATGGCTGTCAAGTGCTCTATCGTGGATGACCGTATTTTTCCTCTTCATATATCCCGGCGGTGGAAAAGGGTGCGAGGTAACAGTGGCCGGACGACAAACAACGGTGATACGCCGTCTGAAAATTTGGTCAAAGTGGTTGGGCATAGAGAAAAATTCAGGATTGTAACGTCCCGTAATCCCAATCCAAGAGGTCAAGGTTTACTCCCTCTTCTGAATAATTATCTGATTATGAATAATTATTTTTTCCCTCTAAGGAGTCCTAATTGGAAAACTACTCCTACTAACCTAGTCCGAGTCGGCCATCCAAGCCTGGGGAACGCGTTATCTCGATTATATATATATCCCCCAACCTTAAACTTTTCCCTCTCACTGATACGGGTAGCAAAATAAAGGCTGGGGTAAGGAGCTTAGTCACGCATAACATTCCCAGGAGGTCGTCGAACTCATGTAGTCTTTTTCTTCTTGAACCCTCGGTATGCTCTACTGTTCTTAAGCTTGCTTACCCCCTGCCTCGCCTAGCGATGGCTCCCATGCAAGCCATGAACGTGGATGGCTTGGAAACTATTGGTCTGCCACCAATTAAGGTGGAACGGCCTTCTGATGTGTGTATTTCCCTTTTTCCTCTCCAGGTACCAAAGATGGCGCATGTCACTGCTGATCAGGTCGTAGAATTTTCGTTGGAGGAAGTTCAATCAAGTAAATATCGCGCTGCTCACTCCCTGATCAGACGTATCTTCACGGATAGTCGATTGAATTTGGACGAAATCAGGGAGGCTGTGCTAACTCCTTGGCAGGTGAAGGGGAGATTGAGGGTGGCTTTGACAAAAAAATGGGTTGCTGGAGTTCATTCTACCCTCCGAGGAGTCCAAGTCTTGGGTTCTCAAGCGTACACCGTGGGTGGTCAATGACAAAATCCTCTATTTACGATCTTGGACTCCCACCATCTCCAAGAAAACTTATGATGATCTGGCCATGGTCCCTTTGCGTGTCCAATTTTGGAACGTTAATGAGGATTGCTGCACTCACCAGTTCGGTAGAAAAATGGCGGCTACCACTATGGGGTAGGTACTGGAAGCTGGCGTCTTTGCTAGCCACGAGACGGGGGAATATTTTGTTAAAGTTTGGGTGGTGATGGATCTTACCAAGCCATTGCGTTCCCAGATATTGGCTACAAGTGATGATACGGGGAGCTTCTGGGTGGACTTCAGATATGAATACCTCCCTACTTTATGTTATCGATGCGGTAGTGTGGGGCACTCTATCCGTTCCTTTGTGTATGAGCTGCCGACTCGTAAGGAGATGTTCGGACCCCATATGTCCACCAAAAAAGTGGGAACCCGAGTCTATGATATTGACGAAGGGTCCCAACAATTTCGATGGAATGGGAAGTCGGTGTGGATTAACCAGGACTTGCGTGACCGTTGTGATATCCAAGCTGGAAACCAAGCTCGTCCGATGCATGTGGATGAAGTCCTGCCATCCCAGGGACTCAACTCGGGGCATGGTGAAACAATCGCACCTTCCTAACGGCGCAAGCAGCAGACACGCATCCCGCGTCACTTCCCAGTCAATAAATCCCCTCGAATCAAATTGGGGAGGGGGTTTTCGAAGCAGAGCCTCAGAAAAATAGAGGCGTCGCTAGTCGAGGCCTCTCTTCCCATGTGATGAGGGAAGCTTTTGAGGCCGATGCTGGAGATGGGATCTCGTCTCCTGACCAAGCAACTCCCACTCGAACGACAATGGCAACGCCGGTTAAGAATGGCCAGGAGGAGAGATATGATGACTAGCCGGCTCAGGCTGTCCCGCCTCCTCAAGTTTGACAGGGTCAGACCCGTCGTTGTAATCTCATCCTGGCCGACTCGGATGAGGATTACCCGGCCAAACCGGTTGTGACTCAGCCCAAACACACAATGCGGAATGGGGTTAAGGGCAAGGGGAAAACACTTACGAAGGCGGGCGGGAAACATCTTCGTGCGGCGACTGATAGCTCCCCCAGGAGTGCTGCTCGCCAGTTGAAACAAGGTGGTGACCGCTCTCGGAAGACAGGGGGTGAGAAAAAAAAAAGCAAGGGAGTGCTGCTCCATGTGACCCACCGGCGAATGGACCCTTTGACATGGCGGTTCCGGAGCAGGTGGTGGCGGAGGACGACCAATTTGTTGAAACTGATGCTTCCTTCTCGGAGAAGGCGACCCCAGTTTTTGAGCTGCGGAGCCGTGTGCCTAAACCGGCTAGGGAGGATGGTTCTCGTGACGTTCGAGGTCGAGTCTGTCAAGTGGTTGCTGCCTTTGAAACAGGGATGCTGATCAATGAGGAAGCCCCAACTTATAATGTGATGATGCCAGTTGTGGCTCGATTTTTTTCCATTCCGACTTCTGTATTTGTTCGCAAATTAATGAAGTGGATTTTTCCTATATCGTGGTTTTTGTTTACATTAGTTGTAATGCTTTAGTTCGAGCAACCCAATTGGATAGTCTCCGAGAGATCTTTGCTCATCTCCATCTTCCATTTGTGGTCATTGGTGATTTTTTAACACGACGCTTAATGAGGGTGAAAAAGATGGTGGGAATCCGTAAAATGCTACTTAATCGATCAGCCTACGTGAGTTTGTTCAGGACTTAGGGTTTCATGACCCTGGTTACTAGGGTGACCAATTCACCTAGACAAATAAACGTATGGGTCTAGCTTGTATCCGTGAACGGTTGGATAGGGCTCTCTGTTCTCAACAGTGGGTGGATTCTTTCCCGGATACTCTTGTCAAGCATTTCACGAACCAGGGGTCTGATCACCGTGCGCTTCTTCTCTCGGATAAACCTTATGTCTGGAATAGTAGCCCTCTTTTTTGCTTTGAAGCTCGGTAGGCGTAAATTCGGAGGTGCGGGCGATGGTCAAGTATGTTTGGGAGGAGCAAATAGATGGCACTCCAATGTACCAGCTTTGGGAAAACATAAAAAACTTCGTCTTTTCCCTTATGATTGGAGCAGGGCGAGTACTACCAACTCCCTCCATAATATCAAAACCCTCCAAGCCGAGATTGAGCATATCAAGTCCCTCCACCCTATTGATTGGGATGAAGTGAAAGTTCTGGAGCTTGAATTAAATAGGCAATGGGAAGCAGAGGAAATTTTCTGGCAGCAAAAATCCAGAGTCAAGTGGCTAAAGAAGGGTGATAAAAACTCTTCGTATTTCCACACGGTCACGAGGACTCGCCGGAAAAGGAACTTTGTGCACGGCCTCCGCAACGATAATGGGAGTGGATCACTGAGGAGAATGGGAAGGCAGGTATTGCCACTTCGTTCTATCAAACCCTCTTCACTTCGGAGAATCAGGTGCCAAACATGATGGACCGGGTGGCCGAACTACCCATTGAACGTTGTGTTACTCCAAACATGAATGACATGCTTACGGCGAAGGTGCTTCAAAGGGAGATAAGGGATACATTTTTTTCAATGGGGTCTAAACAGGCTCCCGTGTCGGACGGCTTTACGGGTAAATTTTTTAAATCCTTTTGCGATATGTTTGGTGGCTCGGTGGTTGAGGCGGTGAGCTCCTTCTTCAGAACAAGTCGGATGCTCCGAAGCTTTAATCACACGTGGTTGACCCTCATCCCAAAGGTGGATAATATCGAGACCGTTAAGCAGCTGTGGCCAATTAGTCTCTGTCAGTTTGTGTACAAGGTTATCACTAAAATTATGGCAAAAGGTTGGCGGGGCTCTTACCCCAGATCATATAGGAAGGTCAGAATGCATTTATCCGGGAAAAGCAAATAGTTGATAATATTCTCCTCGGTCACGAGTTAATGCACTACCTGAAAATCAAGACTCGTGGTAAGAAAGGATACATGGCTCTAAAGGTTTACATGGAAAAGGCCTATGATAGAGTTGAGTGGTCCTTTCTGCTGGCGGTTTTGGAAAAGATGGGTTTTAACTCTGTATGCGAGGATGGTTAAGCAAATGTCTCTGGTCTGCTTCCTTTTCAGTTCTGATGAATGACACACCTGCTGGTTACTTCTCGCCCTCAAGAGGACTCCGGCAAGGGGTTTGCAGCTCTCCTAAAGAAAGCACTCATGAAAGGCAGACTTGAGGGTGTGAAAGTTGCTCCTAAGGCACCTCGAATCTCTCATATGTCTTTTGCAGATGATTATTATCTATTTCTGCGAGGTTCCTTCCAGGAATGCGAAAATTTGATTGAGGTGTTGAATGACTATGAGGAACTGAGTGGCCAAAGGGTTAACCTGGAAAACTCGGCAGTGTGCTTTAGTAAAAATATTGTTGGACCAGACCAAGAATTCATGGCTCAAATCTTGGGTGTTGGGGGCAGTGGGGGTGCATGATAAGTACCTGGGCCTGCCAACCTTGATTGCACGGTCGAAAATGGCCACAATCTGGTACTTAGAGAGTAAGCTCCATGATCGTCTCCAAGGGCGGAAGCAGAGGACATTGTCTTGGACGACTAAAGAGACGTTGATTAAGTCGATCGCTTTAGCTTTGCCGTTGCATATTATGTCCTGCTTCAAACTGCCACTCTCCTTTTGTCGACTTCTGGATAAACATGTGACCAGATTCTGGTGCAGTGGGGAGGCGGACAACCAACGGATTCATTGGATCTCCTGACGGGCTTTGTGTCAGAGTAAGCATGAGGAGGAATGGGTTTCGGAGATTTGAGCATTTTAACCAGGCTCTGCTAGCCAAGATTGGGTGGCACATTCTAAATGAACCGCAGTCCCTATTGGGCCGGGTCTACAAATGAAAATATTTTCCCACGGGCACCTTCCTTGCGGCGACGGCTCGTTCTCGACCATCTTGGGGTTGGCAGAGTATCATTTATGGTAGGCAGCTTCTGGACATGGGCATAAGATGGAAAATTGGTAATGACCAGACGGCCTTGCTCCTCGATTCTAGTTGGATTCCTCGTTTGCACCCTGCTCATACGTTTTACAACCCCCAGGTGGTGCCTAAAGGGGCTCCCCTGAAGGTAGCTGAGGTTCTTTGCTAAGGGGAGGGGCGGTGGTGTGATTCCAAGCTTAGTCAGTGGTTTGGTCCGCTCACTTGTTGGGCTATAAAAACTATTCCCCTTCCACAGCGGAATATCGAGGATAAATTGATTTGGCATGCCACGCCGGATGGGATATTCACGGTCAAATCTGCCTATCACCTAGCGGTCTCATTGGATAAGCAGGAGGGTAGGTGGCGCTCCTCGGTCAGCTGGATGGACAGGAAGAGTTGGATCTGTCTGTGGGAGGCTGATATCCCCCCAAGCTTAAGGTCTTTTTCTGGCAAATTTTTAACTATATTTTGCCTACAACGGAGGCTTTGGTGGGGAAAAAGGTTCTTGTGCTCCTCAGGTGTCCCGTTTGCTCGGCTGAGGCAGAAACTATGGAACATTTGTTCCTAGATTGTCCGGTGGCGAGGGCTCTTTGGGACTATTCGGGGATGGAGCATCTTGGGCAAGGCTTGTCGCGTCATACCTTCCCCCTGTTCCTCAAACGATTGATGGGGCTCATTTGCCACCAGCCTACTCTCTTTCTGGGGGTTGTCATGGTCCTCTGGAGGATATGGCGGTCTCGAAATTGGATGGTCTTTGAGGGTAAACAGTTTGGGATCCCTGCCTTGATGCGGCTGTTCAATCAACAATATGAGGAGTGGCTGCACTTACCGGTCGATGTAGTTTCTCATCCTGCCATCCCTCGGGCACGCCTCCTGAGCCCTGATGGGGTTGGTCTGCCTATTTGTATGTGGGATGGTGCCACCAAGGGGGATTATCACTCTGCTGGGGGGATGGTGATTCCGAACCATGCGCGAGATGTCCTTTTTGCCATGGGAGTGCAGTTCACTTTAATTGATTATCCCCTGGTGGTGGAACTACTTGCTCTCCGTGAGGCGGTGCTATGGTGTCTGAGTCGTGGGTTCACGGAAATGAGGTTTGAAGGCGATGCGAAGGTGATCATTGACAAAATCCTTGGGGCTAATGCTAGCGATAGCAGGCGGGGGGCTATTCTTGATGATATTATCCAGTATTTCGCTAATTATCCAGGTTTTAGTGTACGATTTGTAGATCAACGTAGCAAAAGGTTAGCCCACCTGGTGGCTCGTAAGCACCTTTCTTTGTACTCGACTATGAGTCGTTTGTTTGATTATCAAGCCTAGCTGCTCTCCAGGATGTAACTATCTATTCTTTGAATCAATATATGATAATCTTTTGTCAAAAAAAAATTATTAGCATGCTAAAAACGGAATCCGCAAGTTTCAAACATCAAAGACATGCCACAAATGATGAGCCTCTCTTTCCTCCCTGAAGTGAGCAGAAAGTCTATCATTAGAAATGTCTTTTTGTTTGGAAAATTAGTGAAATGCTTCATCAGTTTACCCGAACACGACTCGCCTAATTAGGTGAAAAACTTCGGGTCTGCAAGACTGCAACAGGAAAAGGGCGGCGGTCCAAATTAAGTAAAACAACAACGTACATTTGAAGATGGTGATTGATGGGGGTGCATTATGACTTTATGACCTCTCAAGTGACCGGCAGGAGCTGGGGCATATTTGCGTCCCATAACTTCGTCGGGGAAACGTAGCGGACTTTAGCCGGAAGGAGGAACAGAGAAGGGCGGGTCCTTTCATTGTCGGACCCGGCAACTATCAACAGTATGCTGAATTTTTAGTTCGGGTTCTATTTCTATGATTTCTTTCAGGTGGATGAAACTTGTGGAAAGATTGGACTCCTCTCTTCTGAATTGAAAAAGAAAATTAGTGTTATCGATCTAGCTGAGTAGCGGATTAAGTCACTCTGTTTAAGATGTTCGCGACATTATTTCGTATTGCGAATATCAAACTAATAGGTGGTCTTAGGGATGACAATTTACCCACCCATTGGTAACTTGCCCAAACCCAAGTAGACCCATTCATTATGGGTAGGGTATGGGTGAGGTGTATATGTGTTTGGGGATTTGTAGATGAGTTTGGGTTAGTTATGG